CTCAAACCAGCTGCTGAACGTTACAAAGTTTACTTTTATATTCTATTATATTATATAATATCATTATATGTATGTGTGTGTGTGTATATATATATATATATATATATATATATATATATATATATATATATGGGCAGCACAGTGGTTAAATGGTCAGTACTTCTGCCTGGCAGTACTAGGGTCGTTTGTTCGAATCCCATTCACGGCACCACCTGCCTGGAGTTTGCATGTTCTCCCTGTGCCTACGTGGGTTTCCTCCAGATACTCTGGTTTACTCCCATACTCTAAAGATATGCTGGTAGGTTAATTGGCTCCTGTCTAAATTGGCCCTAGTATATGTATTTATGAATGTGAGTTAGGGACCTTAGATTGTATGCCCCTTGAGAGTTAGGAACTGATGTGAATTTACAATATATATATATATATATATATGTGTAAAGCGCTGCGTAAATTGACGGTGCTATATAAGTACCTGTAATAAATAAATATATCCAAATTATAAATCACAGTCCGAGTCTATATGAACAGATCTCCTATTTCGTTAAGCCTTGATGAAGGGGGCGATGTGTAGCCCCTAAAACACATTGGATGTTGTACCCAGCAAATGTATGGATTAAAACCTTACTTTGGACTCTAATGCTTCTAATAATTCCATTTTAAGGCCTAAAGGATAAGTTCACCTTTCGTTACATGTTATACCCATATTCAGGATGTAACATGATGTGACAGGTAGCAGGGGATCTTCTCCCCCCTCTCTAGCTTTCACAATTTGAAAAAACTGTGGCCATGCGGGGCTCTGCCTGCCCAGACACGTCATTCATTCACAGCATTCTGTGAATGGTAAACTACAAGTCCCGGCAGCCTTTGCGGTTGTCGGCTTGTAGTTTTCATTGAACTACCACAGTGCTGTGGTAGTTCATTGAGCCCTCAGGTCAGTAGTATCTGTTTGCTCATACGGGATGTAGGAGCAAGCTGATATATTGACAGATCAGGGGTAGACATGCATGGCACCAGCGATCTGCTGATCGATGCTGCAATGCTTTAGAGGCTCCATAAACAAACAATAAATGTACGGTACATTTTTTTTATTTGCCAAAAAAATGTGCATGTATTATTTTTTATTAAAAAGTGAACTAATACTATAAAACCAGTCTTCACATTCCGGGGGGTTCCTGTGGGTAGTCCCTTGGTGCACAGAAGCAGCCCACATATCACCCAGATGCCCCATAGAGATACTATCAGCACAGTATTGATAATATTTTAACTACTCAGGCATCTACTTCTCAAGGTTCACGCACTATCAATTTACTATTCCAAGCAATAAAAACCTGAGAGATGTTCTAATCCCTCTCCACTGTATCTAAATTTAAAAAAAATAAATCAAATCAAATCCGGGAAAATAAAAAAAAAATGATCCCATAGCCCCTGCAGCCCCTTGCAGAAGACACATACCCAGTCTAGGTTGGAGATTCTACTCTCCCATTTTTTAATTCTTTTCTGTCTTTCTCAGGGAATGTATGTGTATTTCCTTAGAAAATGGGACTAGTGTTTTATACCATCTTTGTAATGATCTACCTTTGCTTTGTTGCCTTTTCTTCTATTTACGATGAAAAATGGCAAAGAAGACCTTTAATCCTTCTGTGTATTTTTTGGGATAGTATTTTTGCTTATTGCTAGTAAAAAGTTTAAGTGGGGGGTGTATTAAAATTATCCCTTGCATCGGGGCTGTGCCTGCACTGCAATGGTTAATAGTTTTACTGATCATCTGCTTCTCCCGGAAGATGGTGCTTCCCTACGATCCGGTGGTGGACTGTCGCTCAGCTTTCTCATCTCTATGGACTATGAACCCTGCTCTAGTCTTGATGACATCAGGACTGTAAACCAACGGAAAATGGGGGTGCAGATTCTGCCGGGGAAGGGGGGGAAGGAAGGTAGAAGGATAGGAGAAGTAAATCTCCTGTTGTTCCACAGACATAAATGACAATTTAACCATTTGCTGTGCAGCCCCACTACAAAGGAAAATTTGCCCAGAGTTGGGTTATGAATGTAGGTTTAATGAATACAAAAGTTACATGACGAAAACAGTTGTCATCAATGTCTTGATTATAATTTCTGATCTTGGGGAATACAAGTATCAGTTGCTATTAAGAACATGAAGATTTAATTTTTTTATACAGTATATGTGTGGGCGCACAGTGGCTAAGTGGTTAGCACTTCCACCTTGCAGCTATAGGATCGTCGGTTTGAATTCCAACCAGGGCACTACTTTGCATGTTCTTCCTGTGCTTGCGTGGGTTTCCTTCAGATACACCATTTTCCTCCCACACTCCAAAGACATGCTGGTAGGTTAATTGGCTCCTGTTCAAATTGACCCTAATTTATAATATATATATATATATATATATATATATATATATATATATATATATATATATATGAATGTGAGTTAGGGACCTTACACTGTAAGCTCCTTGAGGGCAGGGACTGATGTGAATGTACAATATATATGTGTAGTGCTATGTAAATTTATGGTGCTATATAAATACCTGCAATAAATAAATGTATGTGTCTGTATGTACACACACATTTGAATTAGAATGCATATATGCATTAAAACGCAGCATAAATAAAACCATAATGCCTATATAATGTATTTTTAGCTTGGTGTAGCTGTAATGGATTCAATGACAAAAAGAGGATCATTTGCCTTTCTTCCTGCGTCTTCTACTTTGGGAATTTCACAGATATAATCGGTCCCTGTCATATAGCGCACACTATAATTTTTACTGCTTTAAAGATGAAGAGATAAACACTTTGAAGAAAATGCATTCGCATGACACAGAATGCAAGATTAATCATTCATTCATTACATGAATTTATTAGGCCATTCATGAAGAAGCAATAGTGAAAGGGACAAAGACAGTAATAAAAGAGGTGGTTCCAGAATCCTGGTGGTTTTTCTTTGAACTGTCTTCCAGTGACTGGCGATAGCTATTAGTGCCTGTTTATTAATCTTCACAAGGCTTATCATTAGTTTCAACCTTCATTTGAAAGGACCTGTTCTCTTGACTCTGACGGTGATCTGATTCAATGCACACGCCGGATTACTCCCAGGGCAGTCGTGCATGGAAGCTGCCAAATAGCAATGTTTTTGTAATTCCCGCTATAATCTGCCAGTGAATGATCTAATGCCGTTAAACATATTCTATTTAGCATTTTTTTCTTTGCTTCAGTGCCAGACCTTTTTTTTTTTTCATTTATTTTGTCACTTTACCCATTCCATTAAGGATCGGCAGGAACATTTTGCATCTGTTTGCAAATCTGTTTAGTACTTTAGCTGTGCCGTTTTTACAATAGCAAAGGCAACATTAGCCTAAACTATCAGTTGCTTCCTTTTTTATGACCCCAAGTGCAGCTTCATTTGTAGAAAACACAAGAAAGGCAAAAATCTCTAATACTTACAAGAAATAGTTATTCACACTCGAATACTTCGACACAATAGTTAGAATCTTGACTCACATTTTAAAGCTGAACTCCAGGCAAACCGCTAAATACACATATGAAAAAAAAAAACTGTATTGGTTGCAAAAGGAATTTTGTTTGTGTCTGTCTTGTCCTGAGATTCACACAGCAGAGCCAGGTGGATGACACCATTTTCTCTGTTGCAGTTAGGAACACATTGTTGTCATGTCTCCACCTCCAGCTTGCTGACTGGACAGTGAAGGAGAAACAGCAGACAGATGAGGTCATCTCTCTACTCTTCTCCAATAAGTGTGTTCCTTGTCAGCACATTTGCATGCAGTACACTTGATTGGCTTCTAGTGCTGCCTTCCCTCTTTCAATATAAATTCTACTGTTTTGAAGATGAAAAGCAGTTCATTAACCACTTCCAGACCGGACACTTTTACCCCCTTCCTGACCAGGGAATTTTCAGTTTTCAGCGCTATCACACTTTGAATGACAACTGCGCAGTCATGCAACACTGTACCCAAATTAATTTTTTACCATTTTTTTGAGACAGATAAAGCTTTATTTTGGTGGTATTTATTCACCGCTGCGATTTTTATTTTTTTTGCTATGTAAATGAAAAAGTCCAAAAATTTTGAACAAAAGTGTTTTCTTTATAACATTTTGCAAATAAATAATATTTCATCATAAATCTTTGCTAACATTTATTCCGTTATCTTTTTAGTAAAAAAAAAAAAAAAACGAATTAGTTTATAACCAAAAATTATAATTTTTAAACATTTTTTTTTACATTTTTATTTTATTTTTTATTATTGTTTTTTATTTTTTTTACATAATGTCACCCTAGCAGTACAGTGTCACCATAGTGACACTGTACTACTTGTGGGGGGTGATGATTTTTTTTTTTTTTTTACAATGATTGCTTTTACACCCATATAGGATGTAAAAGCAATCATTTCTCTTTCTCTCTGTGTGCATTCCTGCACTCATTGAGAAGTACTGAGTGAGCTGTGATTGATCACAGCTTGTCACATGGTACAAGGCTGTTGTGAATAGCCTTGTACCATGTGACCTCTGTGATCATTCACAGATTTCACACGTAGTAAGCAATGATGTCACAAGTGACATCTTGCTTACTACTTTGCATGTGATCACTGATTGGCCAATCAGTGATCACATGATCGGGACCTCGTACAGAGGTCCCGTCCGACGATCGGTGTTTCACTGTGTCCGGAGGACACAGTGGGCACCGGATCGCAGTGCTGCGCGCTCCCAGGGAGCGCGCACAAGCAGGGTGCGGGTGAGGCCGTTTATAAACGGCCACCCGACCCTGCACTGCCACCGTCCGGCCGTTTATATGCAACGGCCGGTCGGGAAGTGGTTAAACTATTATTGATTTAAATATTTAAAGTGGTAGGCAGAAGGTTTTTCACCTTAATGCATTCTCGGCATTAAAATGTTACTAAACCCAGGACCCTGCATTCACTATATCTGGTTTCCCACAGTACACAGAACATGGAAATGCAATTATTTTAGTAAATATACACTGCTAAATACCTTTTCTCATCTGCAGTATATAGCAGCTGTGTGACTTCTATCAGTGTCCAGCTGAGCACTGGTTAAGGCTTGTAGGAGGAGTTTTATTTCTGCTCTAGGAGGATGCAAAACCCCTGACCTCTGTCTGGACATTGCTGATTGGCCCTCTGCTGATCACATGCACTCTCCCAAGACAAAAAAAAACACCTCTCTAGCAATACACACCAAACTGAGCATGTGCAGAATGGCAGGAGTTTGCTTTTTACTCTGACTGTTCTATGAGGCTGCAGGACCCCTGACCCTCTGTCTGGAAAGTGCTGATTGGCCCTGTTCACATGCACCCTGCCAAAGAATCACATGCACCCTCCCAGTGCTGATTGCATGCACTGTCCCAAAGAAAAAAACAACTCTATAGCAATAGACACCAAACAGAGCATGTGCAGAGTGACTCATAGGGCTCTGTACTATCAGCAGATGGATTGGGGACAGTAAAAGAAGGGGAGATCAGGGAAGATAGGATCAAACTGCCATTTTACACAATGCAGAGGATTAACCCCTTAGGTTCCACAGTGAGTATAACAAGCCTGCTATACTGCATATACACACTGATTTTACTATTGTGGGTCGGTAAACACTTTAAAGTAAAAAAAACTTCTGTTTGCAGCTCCCCCCAGCACTCTTGATACTTTATCTGAGCCGGATCTCGATCCAGCTTTATTTCCAAGAGCAGCGGCTCTCTCCCTCCTCACAGAGCAGATTGATAGCAGCGGGAGCTATTGGCTCCTGCTGTTGTCAATTATAGTCTGTGCTGAGGGAGTGGGGGGGGGACAAGCCTCACTGTCTGTGTCTATAGACACAGGCAGCGCTGCTCAGGATTGAGCCCTCAGGTGTGCCACAATAGAAAGCGGCTTCCTATGGCGTCACTGGTAGCACACCAAAAAGAGGAGTCAGGAGAAGCGACAGGGGTCCCTAGAGGTGGAAGATGCGGGGCTGCCCTGTGGAAAACCATTGCACAACAGGTAAGTATAACGTGTTTATTATTTTTTTTTAAAAAAATGACTCTTTACAATCACTTGTACTCAGTTATTAACAACTTCACAGTGGCTTCATTTGTGTTTTTATATCTTCCAGATCAGCTTTATTACGTAATTCTTTCTTCTACAGTCAAAATAAAAACAGTTTCTATAGTACCTGATTTAGTCAAGTGGAATATTACAACCTGAATTACACATCTGTGCCATTTTTTTTTTTAGCAGCGCCTGGCTTTAAGGGTATATTATTTGTAATCTCCAGTGGCAGGAGGATTATGAATCTGGTGCACTGACACTACATATAATCTCTGTGTTTTGTAGCACTCTCAGCATTATTCATTGTCCCGGGGACACTAGTACAGTCAGCAACCTTTTAACCCTACTAGGAAGGCTGTGCAGATACAGCATGCCTACAGGACTGGTGGTTTCTCTAAAATGAGAGGAGTAATTGTATCTTAAAGCTGAATAATGGTTAAACGTTAGCGTCTTCTTTATACAGTAGTGCATATAGGGTAGCTATGAAGATGGCATAAACTATCAAACACTATAAATACTGATCTACATGGGTGTAAAGAGCTGAACACTGGCAGATTGCAGTGTATTTCTGTGCTTGGGGTCACCAGTGCTTGCGTACAGCTGCGACCAGCAACCTATACAAATCAATGACAGGCTGACAGATGCGACCGCTATATGCACCCCAAGTGGGCCAATACAAATGAGTGGCCCTGCATGCAGACAGTTTGCATCCAGGACTGTTCATCTTTCCCAGTGCGCAGGGATACGTTGAATTTAGTGGTTGTATGGCGCTCTGTGACTATGTGAATAAGTCCCTATAGAATCTCTTGCTGCTGATGAAGTTTTATAAGTGCTCTAGAATTTAAAAAATAAAACCAGCAGAGGGTGTGGGACCACATTCTAATAGTACATCTTCCAAATTTTTCAGATGAAGAAAAAAAAACTTTTAGTATGAAGTATGTTGGCAAAAGACTCAAACCTGGCACGCCCACAGTTACACAAACCACGAAGAATTAATATGAAATGGTTTAATCCAGAAGAGCTTTTTTCTACACTACTTTTCCTTTTTACCTGCTTTTCAAACAAATGCAATATTTAGGTGTTGGATGAAAGATTTAGAACAGTTGTTTTTTTCTTTTAGTTAAAAAGTACTTTAACAGAGGTCTACACATTAGACCAAACAGGGCATCCTTTCAACCTTCTACCATGGAGGAGCATTTGAAATAATTTTTCTCGGGGAATCCCTACTAAAAGTTATTATATCAAAAGTTCATGGTATATTACAGTATGTATAGTACGGTTGTCAGTGGAATAGTGCTTCTTATAGACTGCAGGTCATTAGAAAAGGCTACTTTTACATTGGTTGTCAGTATAACACATTTTAAATTAGAAGAAAGGTTTCCCATTTACATCTTCTTGTCAGACATAGAGGCGCCCTTCTACAGTGCTGGCCAGTGGAAAGAATGCCCTGTTACACTGCTAATCAATATAGTGCCTTTCGCGAAGTGTTGTCACTACCAGAACTTTGCAAGTACCATTACATAAGAAAATCAGTCCATTCTTCTCGCTACTCAAAGAACCCCTAGCAATCTTTGAAGGAACCCAAGGGGTCCACAGAACTCTGGTTGGTTAAAAAGGATGAAATAGACTGAGGGGTGATTTAGCCCCCAGAAAAAAAAGTTTCTCCAAATGAGGAGCACTTGGAAGCTATGCAATGTTCAAAGCAGGTGTACAGAGCCTAGAACTAGAAAAGGATCTCGCCTATAGAATCCCCAAGTGATATAAGAAACTGTGAGTTGGTTTCCTCTCCAGAATCTCCCAAAAAATTACTGTTTTGGATAAATTGACCCTTTAATACATGATAATGAAAGGAAATCCTGAATGGTTGCTTTGATCACTATAGACTGTGCACCTCTCTCCCATTTGTGCCTGACTTACAATGTTGGGTTTTCAGTTATTAGTAAGGCAGTTATTACAAATGTCTTTTCTTTTATATTGCTGCTTTGATTTTGTCACAATATACTTTATTTTTTCATAAAATTTTCTATACAAAATTTCACTTTGCTACAAGGTGCATTGGTCTGCATACAGCCTAGTTAGGTCTGTCTCAATTCATGAGCAAACATCATATATCTGATTGTACTTGTAAAAGAAGAATGAACTGATGCCCTGCTGACTAAATTGTCCTCCAGAGTGGTATTAGTTACTGAGTGCCTTAGTTAACTAAGCTCGATGCTTGGAATGGCACAGAACGGCTGTCATTAAGAATCTAAATGGCTGTGAACTAGGGTGTGCATGGATATAAGCCGGCATGATAATGTCTATACAATTTACATACGTAAATATTGTGAAGTAGAACCAAAATGGTATTTCTCTGTAGAGCAGGGTGAACTAGTGATGTGTATATAAATTGGGCATCCTGTACCCTCTCACAGCTTTTGTAAAATGGATGTTATAATGTTAAGGGTCACAAGGGAATCGCATGAGCATATGAAACTCACAGCTGCAGGCAGTGTGGTTTTATACAGGTCATAGAACCCCAAGGTGACCTCTAATATTTTATGTTGCGCTAGCAGAGCATCATTTTTTTCTCTCTGTTTAGTAGTTATTACATCTAGATGTGTATTACATTCACCTACAGGTATGATTTCCATCATAGAGCAAGTGACATAAAATACCTTGCTATTTTTCTGTGAGCTTACATTTTTACAGTTTTGAAATAACCAGTTGCCAAATAGAATTTATTCATTACAGATATTTATACAGCGCCAACAATTCAGGCAGTACTTTACATCCCGTACATTCACATCAGTCTCTGCCCTCAAGGAACTTACAACCTAAAGGTCCTTTCTTCCATGCATGCACACATATTAGGGCCTCCTACCAGCATGATGCATATACACCTTTTATGTGTCTATATGCAACTGAGAAAAATAGTAAAAAAAACACATCACAATGTTCTAGAACGGTCCAAAAATGTCTACGGGAAGCAATAATCCGCAGTATGCACACAATAAGTGAATCTGCCAGTAAAGTTTCATCCTTAATATGAATCAAAGCCAAAAGTGTTCATTTACAGAGAATCCCACACAGATGACCGTGACTCCAGGTGACGTTTCCCATTCAACAGGACTAGGGCTTAAATTCTCAAAAGGACCTCAACTACAATACTTAAGCCAGGTCAATCATGCTTATACTCCTCAAAGGCTAATAATCGACTAAGATCTTTTTGTGTTAGAAATCTCACAGTGCCACTCAGGAAAGAAGACATTAGGTGGCACATTCCGAGAGAATAATACAGCAAGATCTTGGAGGACAAGTATATAAATAGTGATATATGAAGCAGTTGAAAGATTTCTAAAGTAATCTGTATGGCATTAGTTAGGCACAGGGGCAGACTGACCATTTAGAAACTCGGGCACTGCCCGAGGGCCGGAAGTCAGTAGGGAGCCCCATGAGATGCCCCTGGTACCTTTTTCATAGGCTTTTTTGAGTTTGGGCAAGGACACAGGGGCCCCATGATCCCCTATTGCCTGGGGGCCCCATGAGTTGTCAGTCCGCCCCTGGTTAGGCATCATTCATTGCTCAGAAGCATAAGTTTGTGCCTTTATTCAGCCCCCCAATAAATAAAGATAAATATAGCATCACAGCAGCGTTGCAGCAGACATTGGTAGGCATCCTTGCCAGGAGATGGCTGGGCTGCAGGACAAGGAGGCATTACTAAGCTGGTGGCCCTGAGTGGAGATACTTCATTATTCAGACATAGATTTGCCGTTAGTGACACATGCTGGCCATTATATAGCTACCTCATTCAGACAACAATCAGTGTCTGGCAGAGGAAAGTCATCCAGCACCAACTTTCTTCGCAGCTCTGGAATGTCATGTTACTGAATGCCAAGAGTCACAATGAATTTGATTATATTGAAACTGCTCCTACAGGCAAGGCAATTTGGGGCTTGAGAGTTTTTCTTCGGAATATACATGGAAGGGTATAAATAGGAATTCATTGAGTAGTTGAAAGATTTCTAAAATAACGCGTGTGACATTTGTTTTTCATTGTTCTACTTTTTCAGAGGCATAACTTCATGCCTTTGTTCGACCCTCAGATAAATAAAGACCTTATTAAAATCAAGCATAGCTCAGGACTACAGCAAGCCTTGGTTAGTATCTTTCGTGGGGATGTACTAATAAGATATATTGGATTAGTGGTCTTAAGTGTAGATATTTTACCAATAGGACATCAATCTTAAATTATTAGAGCATTCTGGGCATTATATAGCTACCTCATTCAGATAGAAACATCTTCTAGCACCAGCATTATCTGCTCTGAGATGTCATGTGACTGAATTCTGAGAGTCACAAAGAAAGCTCAAAAATGTAAAAAGTTATGTTTTGCCATAAACTATGGCTTTTAGGAACTACTGCCTTTCATCCTATATGCCAGTCAATGAGACACAATGGTACTTTTCCTTTAGTT